TGATTAATTGTCGATTATTTAGTATTTGTTTTATAGTAATTCTATTATTATTACTTTCATAATACTTTATTATTATTATTTGTACAGTACCTCTTTATTATTTTTCTTCTCTAAAAATCTGTTACCAGCCATTTTGTAGTTTAGACATGTCAATTATCAGTGCTTGGTAAACGCTTCGCCTAACTATTGGATTTGTATAAAATGGTTTGAAGAAGAAATATGTCAAAATAGTAGAATAATAAAGGAACGATTGCATCATCCTGTCCCGTTAATAAAGTGACAGATGAGATGCCCGAATGGAATTTCCCGTTATAAATTTTTTTACCTTTAATATCTATATAATATATTATTAATATGTGTACCTTAATAATTTCAATGGAGAACATAAGGAAAAGCATTTTTATGGAAATCGATATTTATTATACTTTTAATCAATTTTTTAATAATATCCAATTCTTATATCTCATCAAACTGTGTGTTAACGTGAAACTATTTTTTATTAAAATTCTTTGTAAAGCAAAATACAGCAGAATTGGATTTTTTTAATATAAAACAAGTTTGTCATTGGAATATTCGTGCATAATGCATTTTGTCACGATGTAATTCAGAACATTTATGATATATATGCACATATAATAGTATTTTAATAAATTTTATTACAAATGTACATGTTATCAATTTTTAAATGTGTTAATCGTGAAAAATGTTTCAGAATTTTCTCGCTACGTTGAAATGAATTTTTTTACGATCTTCGTCATATATCTATAAATCACATTACGTTTGTATTTATCATCCTTAGAGGTGAGCTTTTTGTTGGATATTGCATCATGTGCGCAGTGATGCAGACAGTCGCCCGCTCTTAATCGATCGATATCGCATTTTGTAAGACATTCCAACGAGTTAGTGAGAGTTCTAAAAGTACTTTTATCGCTGTAAAACGGTTTTTTCCCACTTTCAAGCGATATTGGCTACGCTAGATTTTTCGGGTCTCATATATTTGCACAGAGAGATATCACACATACGTATATTCAAGATTACGTTTTAAAATTTCACTGACTAACCAACCGTTTGTTTTCTCTCAAGCTGCTATACGATGGGCGTGGAAAAAGAAAAGGTATCGTATACATATATATCTACGCGCTATTCTTACGCTGAAGGTATAACCAGAAATTAAATATAAATCGCACAAATTTTATGTAATTAATTTAATGGATAAAATCACGTTTTGCTATCATAGTTTTTGTTATATTATTTTATTTAGTGTATAGCATAAAATATAATGATGGAATTTTTTCATGTTCATTTTATTTTTTATTTCTAATTTATTTCTTCTATTTTTTATTTTATTCTTTGTATAGAGAAGTATAGATAGTCAGAATTTGCAAAAATGATTTACGTTACTATTTTAAGATGTTAATTGATTAACGTTTTTATTAAGAGGATTGAAATTTAATTATTTCTACTTTTTTTAAATAGCCACTATTGTTTAGCTATATATTCTCGTACGTTTTCCACCTATACGTCCATCACAAAGTGTAATTAAACATTTTACTCTAGTCAAACGATGACATTCAGGAACAGGCGACGACGCCAACGGCTCTAGCTCCAACACCGAAGGTAGATCTTTTTCCTATGTATATTAATTCTCGAGTATAATTGTTTATATGCGTGATGAAGCTATAATAGTAAGCAAATAATGAGAAAATGTGATATTTTGAAATTCCAAAATATATTTAAAAAATACTATACCTTTATTTGTCGTACCGTTTTATATAGATACTTTTTCATTATGTTACCAAATCAGTTCAATTATCAAAGTTAAATTAACAAAGTTATAATTAATTCTTTTTTTATTATTAATTAAGTGAAACAAATATCTGTATCAACTTATGATGATTATATATTTCTTCGATGCAAAGTATATTTAGGCAAGTATACCCGAGGATTAAATAGATTAACGAAATGCTACTAACATAATTCTTCATCGTTAAAAGTTACAGAACTATTTTAACGAGTATTTATTATATCCACTTATTAACTTTCTGATAACGTTTTGACATTTGCTTACGAAATTTCTTATGAAATCAATCTTAACTTTTTTCCTCGTATTTTTCCTTTTGCATGCAGACCCCTGCGACTGATAAGGATTGGGTAAGTACCAACTATTACCACACGTTCATCGTTGATGCTCCTCGAGAAAGTGAATTGCGATCGAGTATACGAAGAAAAATGTATTCGCGTACAGTGACGAATCATATTATTGATGTCTCGCCAAAGTCATTGACTCGTAAATTATCGCGATGTCTCGTCCCGTGTCCTTATATTAGCAGAATACAGTTAGATGTGTGTAATCTAAGACATGTCTCACGTATATATGCGTATAATATATACTATAATCGACAGAGAGACAATTAAATTAAAATATTTAATTTTATTTTGCTCTAAATTGAAATTATGAGAATAATTATAATATTAATGTAATCGCCATATATTCACGGTTACCAAGTTGTGTCACGATAAGCGTGACACAAAGTCCACAGAGATAACGTTCTATCATGGCAATATGTTGAAATTTTGGTGATTAAGAAATTTGATTGGTGAAAAGGGGAACATATAGGGGTATCATTCAGACATCGACCTTTCGCTATAATTTGCCGACGATAAAATATTTAAAAAGCATTAAAATTCTTGGTACGAAGAAAGTAATACCGAAAATTTCAAAGAGTGGATTGCAATTTAATATCAACGTATGAATCAATATTAAACATTTTCTTTTGTTTTAACGTTAATTATTTAACGCGATAATTAATTCATATTGACAAGTTTGCAACAGTTTAATAGTAAATAAACATTATTGGATAAGTAGTGACTAAAATTTTTCGTCAGATGGGTTTTACTTTGATATATTATAGAAATTAAGTTCGTGACTATACAATGAAATATTTAGTTTTAAACTTAAATATATGAATGACAAATTTTTGCGCTGGACGTTTGATTCAACAAAAAGAGCCGTTAGACTTGGAGGCTTTACTTTATTTCTTAACGATTTCTATTGGCACAGAAATGGAGGCATATACAAATTAGATCTCGTCAGCTTCGGCCGACATGTTAGGACAATTAGTAACAATTGCTTCTAATAGTGAGTAATATCTGCCTGTTTAAGTCTAAGATCTATTCGTATCGATATCTACATAGTAACTTTTAATCACATTAACTATTGTAAAATAAGACAAAGATGAGACCAGCTTTATTTTTGTTTTCAAAGCAATCTCTTTTTTCGAAATTTTACTCTTCTCTCTTCTTGATATAAATCAGAATTTACTCGATATATTATTTAAAACATTTTTCTACAAAATCATTTTATAATACAGTAATATATTTGTGTAACGTGCGCACACTGCACACACACGTGACATGCTGTATTTATTTTATATTGAATTATGACTTACAATAAAGTGATTATAGTGTTTGACTTTAATTCAGCAAACATTTGTGACGATGCATTCGTGTACATTGACAAAATCCCGTATATTCTGCACTGCTAGTTCTTGAGCCAGTTCGATTAGTTTTTCAAACATCTTTTTCAAAGCTATCCGAAAATGTACAATTTGTATACATTAATGAAGTTTGATACATTTGAAGATGCGTGGAAGCAACATTTCATTAAAAAATGGTATTTATTCATACAATAATAATATTTATTTTTAATATTTCGTATAACATTGATACGCACACAAGTGTGTCAGAGCCGAAACGAATCTCGAAGTTAGCTATATGAGTTCGCCGGGACATATGCGTGAAGTCGTAGAAGTGGTCCGTTTCAATGCGGCTTAATTGCAAAATTGACACATACTAACATGACCTGACTGGTCGTCATTAACGGACCGCGTCCGGTATGTACTCTTCGGTATGGATCGTCAGAAGCGAGCTCATGAGAAACGCAAAGAGAATCGCATCAAAGTGCAAAGACTAATAGATATTCAAAGTGCCACGTGTATTTCCAATTTTTTCTTCTGAGACGACGAAGTGCGCGTAACTTGTTTTTTATTATAATACTTACAGTATCGTAGAATCGTAAACGTATAATGTGAGCTAAGAATATTCAATGGGAGATAGATCATCTTTCTCAGAAGACTCTGTGGGAATGCTCTACGAGCAGATCAATGTTTTAAGAATACCTGGAACGCATTCCACGTAGGCGATAGTGATCTGAAAGTATTCTGGAAAGGAAGTAGTTTGAAAACATTTTTAAGAATAAAAATAAGTAATGAAAAGGCTCAACATGTATAAAACAATATAAATAAGAAAAAGGGCAAAGAGCCAAATTTCAATTTTTCACCATTTTTAAGAATAATCGCGAGAGAAAGAAACTCCGATTTCTTAATTAATTTTATAAATAATGTCTTTTTTCCATTGTATTCTATATTTTAAGAATACTCTTTCTCATATTGTCTTCGTATCCTTTATATTTTATAATAAATCTCACATATGAGCGATATTGAGCTTAGTTTAAAAATTTCGTGCAACATGACACAATATTGTTGCAATCTGCGCTTCTGCTAATAATTTTATGCGCCTCTCTCATCATGCAATATTTCGATTCTCCTGTATCATATTCCAGTTTTTTTTTTTTTTTTTGTAATACAAGTACAACTGAGATCACTTCGTATTGAATATCTCGAATCAACCGCACAGTTAGATCGCAATGCAGGAAACTATATTGCGCATCATAAAATTATTTATCTACTAATTCTTAGATGTCCTCTTAAACTTAAAAAAAAATAATAATATTGAAGACAAGTCAACTATTATTAATTTCAAAATTACGAATAGTTTTACTGGAAACTCTCGTTCTCGTCGTAGTTTTCTCAGGTCGAGCTATTATCGAGTGCCGCGTCTATCTTTTGCGCCTCAAACTGCTCGGTGATCCGCTGCTATTTCTTTCGTTTTTTTTTTTAGTGGGGCGTCCCCCCTTCGTCGCAGCAGGGGTGCGTGGGATGGTGAAAGGTTAACGCAACCGGAATCCAGTCCTGAACCGCCCAATCGCGCTGTCGTTGTACCGGTCCAGGAGGAAGGGGGGCACACGAAGGGAGCGTGCGGGGTCTTTTGAAAATCGGCTTCGGTTATACCATCACACGAATATCGGTGCCAGTTGCGCGCGTTCGTGATTGTGGTACGGAGGTCTCGTTCGCCGGAGTCGTCACATTTCGAGATTTTTTCCCGCTCGAGCAAATTTTTGGACTCTCCTCACAGGCGATATTTTCAAGGAGCAGTTAAATCGTGAGAAAGAGTGATTGCGTCACGAAGAGAGATCTTTGACTCTAAAAAAAACGGCAGAACGGGAGGTACAGAGAAAAAATAGAAATAGAAAAGAAAAAAACAAAGTGAAAGAGAGAAAAATAGAAAAAAAAGGACAAGTGTATCTAGTGCGGATTATTCGCTTCAAACAACATGGAACTTAAGGTAAAACTCTCAAACGAGTTAAGACATCTTTTTACGCTCAAATATAAACAATATATGCTTGAAAATAAATTTAAAAAATTTTAATAGCTGATAAATTTGCAGAACCGAATTTTTAGTGCAACTCTAATTAAAATAATACGTAATTAAGTTAATTTGTAATTAAATAGAAACTCAATTCACGGAATTAATTTTTTTTAAATTAAACTTTAAATAAAAAACTTTAATTAAAATAAAAAATATCTAATTTTTGTTCTATATTTACGTTATTCTGAAAACTCAATTCACGAAAAACCTATTCTCTTCAGTTGCTGATCATTTACAAGTTAGTATATCCTAGCATTTTTGTAAAAAAACTTCTATGCAAGTTGGACAAAAATCATAAACGTAACTGTTATATCAAGGTTAAGCTTGGAATTGATATGCAGCGAAACCGGATATGTATATACTTGCCATAGAACTAAAATAAAAATTTGTGAAAAAGTTGATTTGGCATTTAAGTATAATTTTAACGATTTTAACTATTATATATCCCATCAAAATTTTACAACACTTTTACAGATGTCATATAAAATTCATGACATCAGTATTTAAAAATATGTTTGGGAAAAATAGAAAATATTCGAGACTTCACTTGTACATCTCTGACTAAAAGAATATTCGATAATAAAGTTTAAACGTTGTATATTGAAGTCGAACGGATCCAGGTGTATCAGTTGTATCGATTCGTTCGATTCAGTAATCTTCCCGCTTGTAGGAATATACAAATTTAATCTCTAAATCTACCTTTTTCTCATTTTTCATAGTTTTTATTTATAAAATAACACAAAAGCATACATAATAGTTACATTCTTTGAGCGTCAAAACAAGGCAATGACATGATATGTACGATACTTTGCTAAAAATACACAAACACGTTTATATTTAAAAGTTTATATTTTGAAGAAATTGAGTAAAGGTGGCACTCGTTCTGCGTGACTAAAAGATAATTAAGTGAATTTTATAAATAAGCGATTCAAAGAAAAATAATTTTTACTTCATTATACAAAGCTTTAATTTGATTAAAAGTTCAATGCTTGCCTTTTGATTGTAATTATTTCGATCAAACTCTAATGCAATAAGATCGAAGAAATCTTTATTTCGTAAAATAAAATTGCCTTTGCTCAAGCTGCAAAAGTATTGCGGAGAAATACTGATAAAGCCATACATTGCTATTTCACAAATCGCAAAATATTGTATTGAATTTGTTTTATGTGAATAAATATTAAATAAGTTCGGTTTAATTTCTATCAAAAAGCTGAGATTTTTCAGTTTAATGTACTGTAAAGGAGCTTCGCGTTATATGACGATTGGCTGTGATTCGATGATAATCAGAAACGGAGGAAGTGCCTCGTCAGTGCTCCTTGAATACAATAGTAGTGACAAGAGTCGAAAGCTCCCATTGAAACTTATTATCATTAGACTTCATTTTCGCGATATATTAAGCGATATATCGTGTGTGGAATTTTCATGAGAAGTCCTTCGACAAAAAAAAATGCAACCGGCTTAGAAAGTTAATCATGTGGAACAGGATGACACAGGCAGCAATTAAGTCTTTTCTCTACCTGGAACACGTGACTTTTGCGTTCTAGAGTGTTCGTAACACCTCGGAACAATAGTTAACATAACTAAAATGATTAGCGTTGCATCGTCATCTTCGCAGAATTCCAAGAAGCCGATTACACGCGATTATTGTAATGTGCAAATGGTCATTATCATTTCAATACGTATCGTATCAGGTCGTTTTGCAATCGCAAAGAGGCGTGCATATTAATGGGAGGTGTGCCACAAAATCGTCTTCTTCGCAGCGAAAATAATGAAGATATTCGAGATCTTTTTTCGTCATTTTTTTGCTCAGAAACAAGCAGAGGCCAGAGCAAAAGAAGATCGATCCATTAAAAAAATAACAAAGATAAAATCGCACAATGCGGTTCTATGCATTTTGTCGTACTGGCTTATCGATAGAAATTATAGCATATCATAGCATAGATGCTCGCGCATCTCGATTTTTCAATAACACAAACAATAAAATCTTATCCACAATATTATCTTCTCGTTACAAAACGTCTATACCTTAAATATCGAAATCTTCAAACTTTTGCATTAAATAATCCACGATGAAGGAGAACCACTTTTTCAGAGTCCCTATTTTAACATTTAAAATATCATTGTGCAATATTATCATTGCGCATATAGCTCTTTCTTATATTATAATATATATCATTAAAACTTGCGACACCGAAACCGTCGTTAAGAGTTACAGGATAAAGAGACCTTCTATTTTAATCAAGTTTCCTTCTTAGGATGAATCCCGATCGTTAGAAAAGTATTGGAGACTATGAATCGAGAAAGGAACGGGGAAAGAGGGATTATAGATTCATATCAAAGAGACAGGAGCGTTCGGGGACCTTCGGGAGCGAGCATTCTTTTCGCCGTCGGTCTCGTGGCCGTCGGAATTAGCGACTTGGTGAGGTAACCAGGACAACGGCGTCTTGGAAACAGGCAGCACACGCTTAGACGAATGTCGGTGGCGCGCTCGTGCTTACGCGGAGTATTCGAGTTATTTTTAGCGCGCTCAAGCTTCTGTCGTCGTCGTCGCCGTCGCCGCCGCCGCCGCTCTCTCGGGGGGCTCGACCGTTGGATGCCACCGACGGCACCAATAGCGCCGCGACACGCCTTCGCCACGGCCAATGCAGTTGCTAGCGGATTTCGTTACGAGTGCATGTGCACACGGCAGACGAATAGCTTGCCCCTTTATGACGCGGGATATACGTCACAGCCTGGAACTCTGCTACGTAGAAAACGCCCAAATATCCCTTACGCACGTGACCGCAATGTGCGTGTATGTGTGTGTGCGATATCCGCTGTGTCGTTACATACAATGCTTGTACGCAACGCACGCACGGCCAGCTGGCCAGCCGTTGGAACTGGTTGGAACGGCTTCTAAGTCGTTCATAGGCGTCACCTTCGATCAATGACGGAGCAAACCAGGAGCGAACGTCGCCTAAATAAGGAGCTGTTGTTTTGCTCTCGTCGAAAAGAAATCAATCTTGAAGTATCTTTGAAATTACAAGCTGTAGCGCTGCAATTTAAACTCGATTTTTTTTTCTTTTAATAAATTTTATTTTATTTCGGTAGAAGAACTGATAGGAAAATAATTAAAAAAAGGTAAATTTTGTTTATATTTGGAATAAAATTTAATATTGAATTAATTCAGTATTTAAATAACTGTTAGGAATAGATAGGCAGAAACGTTTTAATTTAAAAGCTAATTTTCCGCTGTGATGAATTAGAAATTCAATTTCGTGGAATGAATTCCTGTTTAACTCATTGCCGGCTAATCCAGCTATTTACTTGCAGATATGTTCTATTGTTCCGACAAGTTTCCTCATGAATTTTATAGCAGAAATCATCCGTGTAATAAATACGTACAGTCTCTGCTTAAAAAAAAAAAAATTAATTCTCTAAGTAAGACCAACAGATTTTATTCTACAAAATAATCGCCTGTTTAAACCTTAAAATGAATTTGAAATTGTAATACGAAAAATTACAAGGAGAAATTAATGATAGGAGGTAACATAGAAATGCGAATTTAGGTCGTTTCCAAGGTTTCACGCTTGCATTTGCCGACCGTGATCTAGATGGTTTTATCCGCTATCTCGCGATCAATATCATTCAATTTTGTAGCATACACGCACTCAATCGCAAAGATATTGTGTCTTGATTGCGCTTAGGGTCGACACCCTCGCTCAGATTTGTGCGCGGTCATTAATTTATCTGTTTTTAACATCAAACGGCATAGTCGCGCGCATGATGTCAATTATGATTTCATTAAAGTTTCGAAATAAAACGAGAAATAACACATTTTGTTATCAATGTACCGATTAATGCGATTTTTTTTTATCTTGATGGAACTTTCTGTTTATGTAAATCGACGCTTTTTCTGTTTATGTAAATCGATGTTTTAATCGCTTTTCCGTTTCAATCTCTACACGTTTAGGTAATTGTTTCGCAAAAAAATTTTTTTTTATTTCGTTTCAATAATTTTGTAGGTTTCTTGAAATAAATATGGATACTTCGTACGCATGTATCTATATTTGAAACAAAAGTAATTGTGTGAAAATTAAATAACCTTTAAATTAAATAAATCATCGAAAACGGCTAAATATTTAAAGACGATTTTTTACGTCGTATCGGAATAAATTGCGAGTCGCTTTAGCATTGGTAATCTCTTCAGTCGTGCCCCTATCTCTTCGTGATATGTATTGGTTAATAAAATGGTTATCGCTGTGAAAAAATAAATAAGCGTTTGTTATTTGTATTTTTCGTCTGCTTGCGCATTTTTTTATTTCGATGATAATTGCGAGACAAAAAATTGTTTTTGTCCTTGTAAAAATGAGATTAATTCTAATCGAAAAGATTAAGTATATCCAATAAAGATGCGTATTTATAGATTCCTAATTTGCGAAGTAAAGGTGTCCAAGTGATCGAGATAATTGAGTATTTTTATTTTTATTTACTCATTTTATAAATAAATTAAAATAAAATTCTCTTTTTGTTTATATTCGATCAGATTTTAAAAACAATGTATATTTTGTTGAAGATTAAATATTCAAATATTTTTAACATTACATTTGATTTTAACATATGAATCTGTTTTAATTGATTTTAATTAAGCAATTTTCACTAAATTCAATGAGTTTTAATACCATTGTGAGATATAAACTAAACTATTTCATATTGATTCTTCTGTGACACGCTTCCGGTCATGTTAGCAATAAGTGTTAAATAATACGAACTGTTAAGATTTAAATTCGCGCCTATAAATGCCTTTTACGTAACGCTTCTTTCTTTGAATTTTCGAGAGGTCGTTTCTATTATTTGTGAAGCGCGATGTCGCAATATTCTACACCTATCATTTTCCGTCATTATTAAATGCAATTTGTGGACTTTATCATTTACGACGATGTGTGTGTGCGTATAAGTAACAAATCAGCAGAAAAAACGGCACAAGTGTTCAATGAGACAATTTATTTTTTGTGTAGTTCAACAACTTTTCGAAATATATTAGATTAATTTAATAGATTTTAACGAATTTATTGGCTCATTGCCCTTGTCTCTTTATATTAATTTTTCCAAAAAATTATTTCACGCAGAGATCTTGTAAAAAGTTTCACGACGCGCGATGCATCACGAGACGGGGATTTTTAGTACTGCTGCGTTATGCAAACTTTGAATCTTTCACTTGCATCGGCGCATAAAAACGCGAGATAACGAAAAATGAGAATATTTCCATTTCAGTGTGTTATAATTTGTTAATTTGTCGTTAATTTGTGGTTAAATCCAACATTATAATACTACGAGTTTAACGTCCAAACGAATAGCATCTTTCTCTGGCTTACTTCGTGTCAGCTGAACCGTCCAGCTAAACAAGATCTGATTTTGCTCGTATCAATTTTAAGAATTGAATGATCTCAAATAAACAAAGATCGAAGAAACAAAATCGTAAAGTGGAAAATTACAGCAACGTAAACGCTTTAATAGATTTGTTTACTTTGTTGCTCTCTTTCGCTTATTCATATATTCGGGTGAAATTGAATAAGACTATGCTCTTGCAGAGCTTGGTGAGATACAGAGAACAAAAAATGAAACAAGACGCGGACAGACAAATACCAAATAATTGCTATTTATTTTGTAAGAAGGGTTTAAAGTCCATGCGAGTACAACATGATGGAGCAGAGTTTCTTTCAATGAATTGCAATCTCGGTGCATAGTACGTAGCTTTGTGTTATCGTATATCCGCGTACGAAGTACATTCGGCTATCGGATGGACGACGTCAAAATAATAGATTCGCAGCATTGTCAAAAATGCATCGATAAATATTTATGTAAGTGCTATGCATTTGTAAACATACGCGCTTGGAACAATATGATGATGATGCGCTTCATTTGCGATTCTCGCGATGTGATCCATACACTTTTTTACGTTCTTCAATCGCAATTGTCGCGAAATTGTAGTCGTGATATAGTAGAGAAGAAATTATTTCATTTATTTATCTCTAGAATTATTCTTCGATATATGATTTCGATATCAATGTCAATTAAAGATTTAATATAATATAGCAAGTGCGAAACCTAATAATGAATAAACTATAATAATCCACAAAAAAATAAACGAATGAGGACGATTCAAAATAATTCATATCTATGTAAGATTGAATAAATAATTCTTGCTAGCAATTCGACTTTTGCTTCTTTTTTCAAATCATGTTAATACAATTTAATTGAACACCGAGCGTGAAACGAATTCGTCTCAATGAGATATAATTTACGCGGTTTACGCCATTGTTCGGTACACATTGAAAGTTCTCGCGTGTAACGATAACGAGGTATCAGTTCTCCATGGAAATGATGTATGCGAGTGCATACAATGCATATGCTGTATACTTGTATATATATGTAAACTCAATAAAAAGAAAAGATCATTGAGTAAAGCACATACTTCGTAGTTGCCGCGTTAAATAACACATATACGCACGCATGTGGAATACGTGCGTATATCTTCCGGGTGAAATGATACACTCGCGTATGCCCCGCACGCGTACGCGTGTATGTGTGCGTGTTGTGTGGTCTCCTAGTATAAGAATGGCCAGCGAGAATACCGACTCACCAGTCTTCGGCACGTGTTCCGAGATACTTGAGATACTCTGGAGAACGACACAACGTTGAAACGTACCGCGAGGCAAACGATCCGACACAACGTATGCAATTCTTTCGTCTATCGCGCGCATGTCGATCGGTGAAAGTGAATTATTGGAACGTGATCAAGAGTGCGTAATCCGTGCGTGCCTTTGCAAGGAGAGCTTTCAGGATGACGGTAAAGTCGACCGACTACGAGATGCCGTATGTGAGAAGAACGGTACGCACATATCTCTGCTAAAGTATAAGCAGTATTCCTGGTAAAGAATATTAGGAAAGAGACGAAAGAAATTCGAGCTCTGCGAAATGGAACGACTTCCTTTCTTACGTTAGAAACATTTCTTTTTTTTTTTTTTTTTCGCGTATTCGTGTATAATTGATGTATATCCGCGAAATACTCTAATAAAAATAAACGATAAAGACGCGAAAATTTTATTTAATGAAATAATATTTCCTCCACAGAGATATTTCGCGATTCACTATGTACTCGTACGACAGATGTTCGATCAATCCTTATTCCAATTTGATTCTGAAAGTCAGGCAATTTTTTTACATTAGACTCGCGCATTGCATATTTATCATTTCTTCAATATGCCTGACTATACGCCTGATATCGACATTTGCATTTCATGAAGGAATATAACGACGTAATTTCGAAAATGCTAAGAGAATATTCGCCTTACAAGAAGAAAAACATTTCCGAAGAAAAACAGTTTTTTCTTTAAATTTTAAAATTAATTAAAATTGTACACATAAATTTTATCTGATTGTATATGCATTTCTCGAACAAATATTTGTTCTCTTCTAATATAAGATAAAAACAACATATTTTATGCAATATTTTTCCTGTAATAACTTTAAGATAAGATTTTTTTATGTAATATAATACTTCTGTCGTAGGGTCTCAACGGCCGATTAGCATTCGCTATCGCGGCAGCCGCTCTCGGTTCATCGTTCCAACATGGATATAATACCGGTGTGGTTAATGCACCTCAACAGGTACAGATATTAAAATTGCAACATTTGTTTAAATTATTACATTTACTTTTCCTTATATAGGAAAATTGTATTCTTATGTCAGAATTATGAAACCATAAAATATAGTGATTTACGGAAACAATAAGTGAACAATTATGAAGCGTACTAAATAAATGTTCTAACGTTTGTTACAGCTTATCGAAGACTGGATCAAGGACCTGAAAACAAACCGCACGGGCGTTCCAACGGAAAAGACGGAGGTGACGTTGATCTGGTCGTTGGCGGTATCGATATTTTGCGTCGGTGGAATGATAGGGGGTTCCATGGTGGGCTGGGTAGCGGATCGCTTCGGCAGAAAGGGCGGTCTGCTGCTGAACAACATCCTGGTCCTATTGACCGTGATCTTCGAAGGTAGCGCAAAGGCGGCGAAGAGCTACGAAATGATAATCGTCGGCAGGTTTCTGATCGGTATAAACTCCGGGCTGAACGCTGGCCTGGCACCGATGTACCTGGCTGAGATCTCGCCCGTGCATCTACGTGGCGCCGTGGGCACCGTCTACCAGCTAGTCATCACCATTTCGATTCTGGTGTCGCAAGTCCTCGGTCTGGAGCAAGTCCTTGGTACCGCCGAGCAGTGGCCGCTGCTGCTATGCCTGACGATCGTACCGGCGTTCTTCCAGATGTGCACGCTGCCTCTCTGTCCCGAGAGTCCCAAATACTTGCTGCTCAATCGCGGCAAGGACATGGATGCGCAAAGAGGTAGAAAAAAAGATGCATTTTATTGCGTTGCACAAAAAGCGAACGTAAAGCGCAGATTGTAAAACTGAGAGGCTAAAAGAGATACTTGGAAAGGAATTTATATATGAGTATTCGGCCGTCGTAATCATAAATTGCCTTTTTTTCAATCTGTCGCTTTATGCGTCATGGAATAAATTTAAATCCTTCGTTCGCTTTTTCGCGCATTTATCGTTTTTCCTTTCTCTTCTTAATAGCGCTGTCTTGGTTACGTGGCACGATCGAAGTTCACGACGAGATGGAAGAAATGCGAGCAGAGTACGAGTCGGTGAAACTCGTGCCGAAGGTCACTGTACGCGAACTCTTTGTCAATCCAGCGCTTCGTATTCCGTTATTCATCTCGATCATGATTATGTTCGCCCAGCAGCTATCCGGCATAAACGCCGTCATGTTTTTCTCAACGAAGATCTTTAGGATGGCACAGCTCGACAAGCATGCCGCTCAGAGCGCCACGATGGGGGTCGGCGCTATGAATGTCTTAATGACCATCGTCTCTTTAGTGTTAGTAGAAAAGGCAGGCAGAAAAACGCTACTCTTGGTCGGATTCTCCGGCATGTTCGTGGATACCGCTCTACTCGCCATTTGTCTCGTATTTGCTGTAAGTAGTATTCTACTTGATGCTACAAATGCTTCGAAGCTTTTGACTGATCAATCGGAAAAAATAATTTTATTTATTGATCAGTCAAAAAATCCTTCGTACCAAAAGTGGACCGTAACTTTATTCCTTAGTTAGTCAAAATATACAACTCTCAAAGGACTTCGAGATCATAATCGAATGTTTCATTTATAAATTATAGGAAACCTCTCGTGCGGCAGCATATTTGTCGATTGTGCTTGTCATCATGTTCGTCGTCCTGTTCGCCACTGGACCAGGAAGTATTCCGTGGTTCCTGGTGTCAGAATTGTTCAATCAATCCGCCCGACCACCCGCTACCTCCATCGCCATCGCCGTCAACTGGACCGCAAACTTCATCGTCAGCATTGGCTTCCTGCCGCTTCAGGAGGTAATGGGCGCTTACGTGTTCATCATCTTCGCGGCGCTGCAATTGTTCTTCACGCTCTTCATATACAAGAAAGTGCCGGAAACGAAGAACAAGACTATGGAGGAGATTAGCAGTATGTTTAGGCAAATATCGTACCAGTGAGGAGTACAAAATGGATAAAATGTTTCGTCAAACACAAAAAATCAGCAGGAATGAATACGAGGGCGTTCGTTGCTCTTTTTCTTTTTCTGTGTCAAAGAATTCAATGGTTTCGCGAAAATGACACGCACTATTAGCTGTTGTCTATTAACGCGCTTCCAACATTCTGTCCATACGCAATATCAAAATTCATCGAAAAGATATACTCGATGAATATATATGTATGCATAATCATGATGTGTGCTACGAGGTATTCGACGTAATTACATCCCGCAATCGTGCCAATTCGGAAAACTCTTTTGTTATATTACTCTACTGTTTTAGTCTTATTTTTAATTTCTTTAATTCGGAAACTGTGTGCGTTCCAAATCGACGCCCACGTCACAAATAATACGCACACGGTTTCGTCTTCGGGATTTAAATTGTAAACCTAACCTTATATAATTAGTTCCTATATATTGCGTCTAACGAGAAGAAAAAGCCGCAAGAAAAACAATCGAAATGACGCGAAACAGCTTAGGCAAAAAAAACATGATTCTTTCACGAATTCTTTTCGAATAATGATTTGTTCCTCACTTTAGGGACAATAATGTATTACTTGCCATTATACCATATACTTGTATGAAAGATCGCAACTCTAGTCATGAAAAGATCTGTAGACGGAGTATACCCACATAATATACGGTTCTCTGACGAAAGTCCTAGGGACGTCCTTATGACATAGATGTCCTTGAGATATCCCACGAAGAACTGTGTCGTACAGTTGTAATCTTGGAAGGATCTTATACGCTGGCCGATTTATTTTTATCATCGAATCTCCGATTCATTTTACATCGACAGATCCGTACCGCTTTTCGCTAAATGAATTTTTAATGCGATATCACGTGAAATATACTGTATTTTAAAGAAATTAATGATCGAGTACAATTTTATAAAATAACGGTTTTACAATAGCGCGTAGGAAACTTGCGTTCCCTTTATCGAATTACATATTGCATCGCGTTATTGTAAAAGAATTTGAAAACTGTTGTTAGAAAAGGAGTAGAACTGATTACGTTGATGAGTGAAGAGCGTATCAATTACCTTTTTATGAAATAATTTATAATAGAAACTTGAAGAATATTTTATTATACGAAATATAAACTGAAACGCAAATTTTGATTCGAACGAGAACGGAAAGAATGATGTTAGGATAATTGTAAATACAAAGATATGTAAAGATTAGTATTGTGCATAGCGTAGGTGATAATTATATTTATGTATGCATGTAGATTTGATTAATGTGTTTAAGACTATATCAACATCATGTTTTTAAATTATTTAGATTAATTTTAACGGTGTATACATATATCAAAGAAAATATGCGATATACTAAACGCACGTAACTCAGGAACTTACGCTCGTTATTTCGTAAATAGCAGGTGGATGCAATGTTTTCTTTTTACGCTGTATCTCTCTGTATCTCTCAAGGAATACTCATTTGTAACCCGTTTTAGTATATATATGTATATTAAAACTTATCGATGACATTGTACAACAAAAGGCATCTAAGTTTGATAATTCGTTAAATAAATCCTCGATTTTTATCTACTTTGTGTAAAATATATCATTTGAAGAAAAATCTAATCGAGATTAGAATGTCCACTTTATTGTGTATGTGTATGATTTAGTATGTTATCCAAACTATAAGTATGTACAATGTTCAACTTACATCGCAAAACTGTAAATAATAGTTCTCATATCTTTTAATTAATTGATCGCTAATTATCATATAAGTTTTTGCAGCGCAGTTATTAGCACTTAGATAATTTTTTTATAAATAAATCTGTAGACTGGCCAATCAAAAGGAACAACGTCAGATTCGACAGTCTTTCTATTTACTATATAATTGTGACAATAGATAATTTAGCATCCTCATTAATATGCCTGCCTACAAAATGTGTTACAGTTTTATAATACTCGATGCCAACATGCATATATATCGTCCAAATAAAAAGGAATATCAAGAGCAAAATACATGTATTTTTGTATCACTCGAATCGTTTACAAATCTTCTACGCAATGATGATATTTACAATAATGCTTAAAAACTACTTTATACATGTATATATGGACAGCAAATTTTAAATATGTTTAACATTCAAGATAGCTTTAAATGTACGGTCCGTCGATAATGATTTGTCGCAATAAATGATAATTCTGCGATTCGAATTTATTGATCGCTTTTATCGCTTACCGATTAGTCGTTTTTTCTTAATAATTTTATTTAGAATTCTAATGAGATAAAGAAAACTTTATGCGGTAGTGCATATACAAAAGGAACTGATATTAAGAATCAACTGCAAAATCGCGAAGAGCTGGCATCTTAATTTTCCATTTTTCAAGCGAAACATATTTTTTAAGACTGGAATTGGATTACGTATTGAAGATTAAGATTGAAGATTGAAATTTGACCAATGAGGATAAAGGAATTTTATCCTCCTATTATTTCGATTGGCCAAATTTCAATTTTTCAATCTTCATTGCGTAGTCCGATTCCGGCTTAACGCTAGTCTACTGTATAAAAGTATAAACGACGATCTTCAATGCCAACCGGGCGGGACTGATTTAAACTGATTGTATAGTGAGGCCGAAAGGCGAAAACGCGAGGGGACGCGCGGATCGTTTCGTTTCATACCGTTCGAGTACTCGGAGTAAACTGGAGTAAACACAAAAAGCGGAGGCGCCGCGCTCGCACACCTCATGCGTGTACTTGCTGGCTGCTGGCACTCGTCGTCTGTAACGTCATAAGAATTCCTCCTCGAGCGACAGGGCAAGAGGTGGAGAAAGAGAAAGAGAGAGAGAGAGAGAGAGAGAAAGAGAGAGTTACAGCCAAAACTCCGTGTGTCTGTTGGCATCGCGGCGCGTCCGTTCGAAAGGTGGCCGAACGACGGCGACGGTATTCGCATTGTTGTTGTTGTTGTTGTTGCCGCAGGACGCTCAGACGTCAGAGACGCTTAATCGGCTTAATGTGTATGGGGCGATCAGTGAGGGGCACGTTCGCAGCGGTTACAGATGTTCGCGGTAGTCGCCGCGGCGTTGGCGGTAAAATTGCAGCAGCTGTGCTCGCGTCGGCAAAATGTCAAACCAGACGAACGTCGGTTCGCCGTCCGAGCGACTCCGACTCGTGAACGGTGAGAGGAGCGTCAGCCGCGTCAACCGCGTCAACGCTGCTGGTGCCGCCACCGGCGCTGTCAGTGGCAACGCCGGCCGCGGGGCGAGGGGCGGCGGGAGGGGCAGCTGCGTGGGTGGTAGAAGTGTCTTTGATTCTCCCTGCGGTGCCGGTGGTGGTAGGAATAACAATAATACCGCGGATATCATTGGCAACGGCGGCGTGCTCGTTGTTACCGGCGGCGTCATCGGTGGCGCCGCGGACGGTCCCCGCGACGTGACGTTGTCCGACGCCTCCCGCGCCCGCGACGGCCGCGACACGACGCCAGTGAATTTCTGCCGTGAGACAACAGTACCGCGTACCTGCGGCGGCAACTGTCGTTGCTGCATTTACGCCGTCGACGCGTTATTAACCTCGGTGACAGGCGCGACGACGACGTGCCTGGCTAATGGTGGCGGGAACGACTTCGCCGACGACGACGACGACGGCAACGACGACGACGTCGCCGCAACGTCGATCAACTGTCCCGAGATCACGTTGAACAGTACTGGAACCGGGACGACGACAACGACGCCGCTCCTGGACGCCGGTAGCGTCGACGCGAGAACAATCGGCAGAAGTAGGAGCGGGAACAGCCGCCACTCTACAAACGCCGCCGCTCTCGTCATTGTTGACGTCGCGCCGTCGTTCCACAACGACGTCGACGACTACGAGGATAACGACGACGACGACGACGAGGACGACGACGACAACGAGGACGACGACGACGACGACGAAGACGAGGACCGTCGCCGCTACCACGACCGCGGCAAGATGGTCGCGGCGATGAACGAGCACCTGTCCAACGCTACGACGACGACGACATCATCCCCGCCGGCGGTGGCGAACGCCATCCGCAACACCGTCGCGATGTCATCATCATCGTCGTCGTCCTCATCGTCCTCATCATCGCTGTCGTCGTCGTCGTCGTCGTCCTTGGTATCGTCGGCTATGATGACAGCGACTACCACGAACGCCGGCAGCAATCCTTCCGCCACGATGATGACGATGAGCAGTGTCGGGAGCGGTGCGAACGGTAACAATAACAACGCCGCCGGCGGCGGCGGCGGTGGTGGCGGTGGCTGCACCAGCGCACGCAATCAGGAGTTCCAGGAGATGGACGGCGACGGCAAGAGCACCAGCAGCAACACCACTGCCGCCGGTATCCACAGTTTTCCATGTGACTTCGATCATATGTATGCCAGCATGACCGACGGTGCTGCGCCGGCTGCCGCCGCGGCCACCGCTCTCGGCGTAAGTCCGCTGCGCGGCAACGAGCCTCGTCACAATGATCTCACTGAGGTCAAACACCTCAAGGAGCTGCTACTGCTCCACCTCGACCTCATCCAACAGCAGTCCGAGCAGATCGTCACCAAGGACAAGCTCCTCGCCGCGCTGCGTCAGGAAAACGAGACGGTACGCGAAAGACCTCTCCTTTTTCGCAAGCTGTCTGTCGGAGGAAAGAAAGAAAGAAATTCTCTCTCTAGTTGTCTCTCAGTTTAGATGAAGAAATTGGGAATCGTCCGGTTTGTATATGTGGGGGAAAAAAAAAAAAGCTTTGTTTTGATCCGACGTTTTCAAATGGAGCTCTGTATTGTATGCGATTCTTTTTACGCCAAACATGTGCCTTTTTTCGGTAATTTAATTTAATTGTGTGACGACGTTTTGACGTTACGAGATAAACAGAAAAAAATGTTTCAAGCTACACCTCTGATTCCCACAAATCTTTTTACAGTCGCAGAATCGAACCGACCGCTGATGAACGCTTTTCATTGCACCTACCTCGTATACGTAATATCGTTAAATGTTTAATTATCGTAAATATCGTAAATCGCGAGGAATCTCTCGATCTCCGCAAATGTGATTGCTTTAACCTCAAGTTGAAAGATGCGGAATGAGGTGAAGTGAGTGGCGATGAGTCATCGAGCGAGTTTTCAATTCAAAACCCGATTCGTCCTCCAATCCCGTTCACCGACCGTCTGATTTTTGCGTAAGTGCCTGCGACAATTGCGTCATGTGTATGTACTTGAAAAAGACCCCAGAACGCGCCGAGACAGCGATTCCGAGCTGAAGCCAAAAAGATTCCGACGAAACGCGAAAAGACGCATTCGCGAGAATCGCGTGGAATTTCGAGCGAAGTGAGACTCCGATTCGCGAAATCATTTCTTTCTACGACACGTACTTTTCGCAGTCTCCTCCGAAATTTATATTTGCTCCAATTCACGATCTTCATGGTTGTTAGCGGTCAGGGAAATCGGGAAAAAACCGGGAAAAGTCAGTGACATTAAAAAGTGAAAATTTATTTATCTCGAGGAATTTCTTGGTCTAACATAAAATTAAAATACCTTAAAATTCTATAAACTTTAACTTCTCTAAAAATTATGAAATAGAATTAAAAAAATTTTTTTAAGAGAACAATGCAAATATTTTCAGTGATCGCAATTTGCAGAAAACCATTAACATTGTATTAAAAAGAAAAAAACTTTCCAAAGATTGAAATACGTGTGTGTTACGATAAACATTTTGTAAATAATTTCTAATTAAAATTAATTTTAAAATGACAATATTAGAACATACAGTGTTTTTAATGAAATGACTCAGAAATCTCAATAAGCAATGTGCAAAACAATGCTTTTAATGCAAAATATTACGTTTTTATGTAAAGAATCTTTCTCACACAGGTTTTTCTTTTTCGCTAACAACCCTGAATCCCGCGGCAGAAAGAAAATCGTAGCTGTCAACGCAGCTTCGATCGTTGATCCTCTTCCGCTCGCTTTCTGTTCTCTCGCGGTCGTAATTGAGAATGAAAAAAAAAAAAACCTCGCGCACCACCCTAACCTGAGTACGTCGTGCGTATTCCTGTTCGTCAGTCTCGTTCTTTTTCTGGTTGCGGAACGCCGGTGACGACTTTGGCACCATTTTGTAAAAACGCGCTACGCGCACATGCCCGCGAGTGTCAATCCCCCGCCTCGCCCCTCTCGCACAGTCTGCCTAACCTAAATGCACCACGCGGGGAACAGGTTGACCGTGAAGGTCAACTTGCGCGGTGTCAACACGTGGTGGCGCTACTTCCGCATTGAGATCGCGCGCGAGAAAGGGAGGAAGGGAGAGGATAGAGCGAGAGAGAAAGAGAGAGAGAGAGAGAATGCATGTGAGAATGTGAGTGCAGGACGAGTGCGGGAGACGAGCGAGATTTACTCCGTAGAGAGGAGTGACGACGTTCTCGGTGTTTTTCGCGATTTCAAAATGACAGTTGAATCGAAGGGTTAACCGCGATCGCGTCGTGCGACAAAGTAAGTAATTCTCGTCGTGAGACCGGTGCGAATCGATCCCGTTTCTCGAGCTGTGCCCCAGTAGGCGATATACGTGTCTCGTCATTTTGTCAAACGGTGCGAATGACAGGGCGCCAGTCCTATATAATTAACCTCCCTTGCCGCAAACGCGGAGGAATGACAGCCAGATCGATTCCCGAAGTGAATTAAGATGATTTGCGAGGAGAGAAAGCTAGTGTACAGACGGCACACGAGAAGTGTAAATAAATCTCTGTATATGAAAACGATTGACGCGTTTAGGTATACATGCCGAAATGGTGAAATGATATTTTGATTTGTCTGTTGCAGCTGAAACTGCGCTTGGAGCGTATGGAAAGGCGTGTAAACCTTCAGAAACTGAGATCCGAATGTAGCGAGAATTCTACCGGTTCCGAACATTTAGGCGCCTGCTCGCCCACCAGTGTCAATTCAGTGAATGTACCTTCGACCAGCGAACTGCATAGAAATGTTCAGTGCGAGAGTAGCAACAATAGCAACGTCTTGCACGAGAGTTTTAAAATACGTTTAAACACTAGTGGCGGTATCACCACTGTTAAACAGGAGCCACACGAGAATCAAATTAAATTGGAAATCAAACAAGAGCCTAATAACGAGGCGAGGTTTGAATGGGAAGAGAAAAAGAAGAGACGATCCGATCCGACTCCCCTGTCTACAGGCAGTAAAAAGAAAAGGGGTCTCTCTTGTTCGTCAACTATCAGTAACGACGGAGTGCAAGAAAAGATACTAGGTCAGACGGTTCATGAAACATCCAGTAGAAAAAGCGACAGGAAGGCGAAATCTCTTGTGAAAAAGGAATCCTTTCTTACGACAGAGGAACATTATTATACAGCTGTAGGAGATCTAACTTATACATTAAATATGAAACAGTCTAATCCAGTAGAACCAAGTAATACGTTAGAAGTTCCAAATTGGAGAGTAAAGGTGTATACGAGTTGCTACACAATGGAGGGAACCGAGAATTTGGACGATGAAATTTTTAATAAGAGACATTTGAAATTAGAGAACGATGAAAGGAGGCGAAAGCGATGGGATGTACAAAGGATAAGGTTTGTAAAATTTGCTCACAATCTTCTCTTTAAGAATAATATAATATGACTTACATATTCTATCGTGTCATTAGGGAACAAAGGCATATAGAGAAGTTGAAGCAACGGCAGGAACGTCAAAATCATCAAGCTACGTGTTACAATACAAATCATACTGGTCCTTGTCCATCGTCCATGGAAGAGGAAACCATAACTTCCTTGTGGCCTGATATAGAACAAATTCAAAGTCTTCAAGTAGATCATCATTTGCCAGTAACTGCATTTGGCGTTCCTATTCCTACTTTTCCTCCATGGTAAAAAAAAAGTCTACTTTTTAAACATACACAGGTTTTACATATTACTGCATTAATTATTAATTTGCATAATTTTTATCTTTCAGTGAATTTTCTTTACCCTGGTCGAATATAACGCGAATAAAGTGTCGACGTCCTAAACGGTCAACAAGTAGAAGAAAATCTATAGGTAGAAGAAAAGTTTAAGAGATATAATTTTTATAAAATTGGACAGAACTGATTTTATTGATACCGTCAGTTTTAAACTCTTGAAAATACTACTGCTCCCTCTCACGCCATAATTGAAACAGCGTTTTGTTGTAAAATAGGGGCACCAAAGATATTTTTATTGACTTTTTAAACACACGCAATATAATATAGTTTATCTATTTTTTCTACATTTTTTTTTATTTAAGTAAATTCATCGTCAATACTTGTTTGATACATCTATTCTATATTTTGTACTCGGTGTTGGTCATTTTATTTATATAACTATGAATAGATATCACATAACATGACAAAGTATCAATCCGGCATTGAACATTTGTCAACTCCAGACTAGACTTCTGTTCCATTTTCAGCGAGTTGACAATATTGATAGTTGTTTAACTTTTTTTTACTGCTCCAATTATATACCGTACTTTATATTATTTTTATAATTAAACACATTCTTTGTTATTAAAAAATCATTAACTACCATGTATATCGATAATATATACGCGCCTGCTAAAAATACATTGTAAAACAATGTTACACAAAGCGGAAGAAAATACAATGAATTTTTAAATTTTGTGTAGCTCTTTAATATTTTATAAATTCTGCATTGCTTAATAATTTAACATCGTAGGATGATGCATATTCTTTAAAAATTAAGCATTGCTGCCGAATTGCGTTTAATTAACTCCAAAATTGACAGTACAAATGTATAGAATGTTTCAGAAAATGTGCGCTTCCTCACAGATTCTTCGACAAAATTAACATTTTCTTCACGAAAATTTGATGGCCTAATGAAATAATTTTCATGGACTTTTCGTGAAGGAAATATTTACGTCAAGAAAATTTGTAACTAAAAGAAATTGGATCGTCTTTTGATACAATCTGTATGCTGTACATCTATTGGATTACTAATAAGATTGATATAAAATAACATAAGTGACATCGATATTGTTACATCAATGCTATTCTTGCTCCCGAGTATATTGAACGCTGAACATTAAAATCCGAGATATATATAGACGGAGAAGGACCTCAGACATCGTAAACGATTGTAAATTTATTGATATCGTGAGTAACAGAATTTTACTGATCTGACGTACGAGGTTTCTCGAGTAACCATTTTAGTACAATTAATTCGATTAAATTTAACTATACTGACTGCGTATTATATATTTATTAAATAAAATTATATATAATTTTTTTATCCGTGGTATCTTCAAAAATTGATGTA